TCTGTTGGTTTCCCTGGAACTCTCGGATCCTTGCTTTGCACAAATTGCGAATGCGGATGAAGTCATTGGCATCTTCCATCAGACCCGTCAATTTATACCGAGCAAAGGACCGAGAACGTTCTTCTAAGAGGTGACGGATAGCATGCGGCAAGGGGTGTCTGTTTGATGAAGATTTACGGACGCGGGGCACCAGCAGGTGGTTTGCTGCACAAATACACCGGTCTATTGTGCAGCTTAAGATGTTTACGTCACGTATCTGGCTGGTTTGTGGGGTGTGGGCTTGAAGGAAATGCCTCAGGTTGTTGAAGTTTGTACTTTTAAAAGAACGAACCTCCCCAAGACACGATGTAACGCATCTGGGCCAGCGGACTATTGCCTCGAAAGACAATACGATGTGATCACTCTTGCCCAAAGGGCAATGCTGTTGAACTGTGTCCGCGAGGTGACTATCACCTGGTATGACGAGGTCTAGCAATGAGGGGGCTTGTCCGTTTCTGTATCTCGTTGGACTTTTGACATGCTGAGACCAGGACAGCTCTGTGACCAGGTTGACCAATAGCCTTCCAAATGTGTTGTCCGGGGCGTGGAGTCTGCGCCAATCTACTGCCGGTGCGTTGAAGTCGCCAGCTATCAGAAGATACGCATTGGGGCGCATAGAGCTTGAGCTTTTTAGCTGATCTATCAGGAGTTGTGATTCTAGCTCGCCACAGGAGGGTGAGCGGTAAATTACTCCTAGCACCAGTGTCTCAGAGCGGGACAGGGGCAGTTGGACCCAAAGGCAGTCTATGATGGGAATGGGAGGGAGTGATAGGGTGATCGCTTGGGGGAGGTGGTCACTCGTGTAGAGGATCACACCACCTGCTCCACCTCTCATTGAGTCTCTTCGGATCAATGAGTAACCTGCAAGGGATATTTCGCCATCGCTGTTTTCCGGGGTCAACCAGGTTTCTATGATTGCTAAGAGATGGGGTTTTTTATCGGCCACTAACTGTTTGACTTCCAGTATCTTGTTTGAGATGCTGAGACAGTTAGTGGAGGTGCACTTCAGAGCCCACTCACCAGCGATTTC